GACATGGAAAAATATTCAAAATTAATAAAATTATGAAAGAAAGATTTAATTGTACTGAAAATGAAAGGAAGAAAAGAAAAAAATTAGAAAATTGTTAATTTTTAAATTAATTAGAAAAATATATACTTTTTACTGTAAACATGGCTTAATTATACATACACATCTCTACTTAATACAGGGCTTCGATCTCGAATTTTTAAAAATCCGCAATTTTAATGAAAAAATCCACATTTGATATGAAAAATCCGCAAAAAATTATCAAACATAAAATTTGAAGTAAAATCACTTTATGTTTTATATTTTTTGACTTCAACAATTGAATTATGCAAAGATCCTTAAGCCAAAAATCTTACATTTTAAGCGCCGCAGGCGAAAATTTTGAGGATTTTGGAAGGTCTTCGCAGAAAATGACATTTTATCATAAAAACTAGAAAAATATAAAAAATCCTCATAATCTTCAAAAGACCACAAAAATCCGCAAATCCCCATTTTTAAAAATAATCCTCATCACCCTATCAAAAAACCACAAAATGAGGAAAAATCCGCAGAAATCGAAGCCCTGACTTAATATATAAAATTCCAATTTATATTTTATTAAAGTTTTTTACAATATACTATTCTAATTATTCTATTTGGCATTAATATAGATAATTTTTGGAGGAGGCCATTGAAAAATCGCCTTTATTTAGTACTATAGATATTAGAGGTCTCCATGGAACGGAAACCCGCAATGGATTTTACGGGATAGTAAAAAAGAATAATAGATCTTATTACTTTTAGTAAAATATTATTAATAACCAGAGGTTGATTGGGAGTCTGAGATTTCACGTTTAAGTTTTTAGTTTAAGTTTTTTTCCCAATTACTCGGTACTCGACGTACTCTATGTCTTTTCTAGGACAAAAATTGTATGCATAACAGAAAAGAACATATAATTTCTACAATGGAAAACTTTTATTCTTTTTTTGGTTTTGACCTTAACCAAATATTTATCTCTTTACTAAATCTTCATATTTTATTACTTATATTTATGTCTACATTTGTAAAATTATTCAAAACTCTAATAAATTTATTTAAAATAATGCTAAATTTAAAATATTTATTTAATAATAATCAAATATCTTTCGTTTTATTGGCTATTGGAATTTTTGTTTTTCGTTGTTTATTTTCTTCTTGGATTATAGATCAATTTAGAGACGATAATATTTTTGTTTTGAGAGCTTTTTATTATCCACAGAGTAAATTGTGAGTATATTTATATCAGGGATGTCTCGGGCTACCCGAAACTCAAAACCCTGACTTTTTCTCGACCTGAAACCCGATCCGAAGAAAATTTTGGAAAGCCGACTCGAAACCCGACCCAAATTTTTTCTCAACTCGAGACATCCTTGGTATGTATCTTTTATTAAAAGAAATGAATTTAAATTATTAATAAAAAAGACAAATAATTTTCATACGCTCCAATCTGAATTATTTAAAAAAATTTCATTTTATTAAAGATACAACAGCCAAGAATCTCAACCTAATATAGTTGTGATTTTAATAAATTTGGAAAGACGATTATTTATTAAATCGTTTAACCCAGAATGTATATACGAAGGAAATAAATATTTAGCAAGTTTAGAATCTGTCCATGAAGGATATTCTCATGCTCCTTGCCGACTTGGGTTGTTTAGAATTGTTTGTCAACTTCCTTGGAGACAAGAGCCTCCAAACAATAAAATTGGAATTTCTTTACGAGGATCTCCACCTATTAAAGTCTTTTGGATTTTGGAGTTGAAAGATTATTTTATTTATTCTTAGATTTCATTGAAACCTGCAGATTCAAAATTCCGCCAATTAATATTTTGTCCGGGGAGAATGTTTTTATTTGAACAGGTAGAAATAAAATGATTATAAATAAATAAAGTTTGAGGATTTTTTAAACAAAATGAAAGGATTTTGGTATAATTTTTTAGAGGATCTAATTAAAATAATTAAAGCCAACATTAAAATAATACCGATTACGTGGAAGTATAAAGAAAAAGTCTCATTTCCAACTTCCTTCCCGAACATGGATTTGTTATCTTATCTTTATGATGTAGTCCATTTATATAGCTATTATTTAATCCTTCCCTAAACACAGCACGTTATATCGGTTATAATTAAAGTAAGAGAGGTCTCTAACAACTAAAAAATCCTTGGCAGTAACAATAATTCTTTTAAAAAATCATGAAATATACGACGGTCATGCTCTACTCTAATTTTAATTTTTTAAATAGTGGCATTTATTTTTGGCAACAATGGAATCAAATAAACTTCTCGGTGCTGATTTAATAATTGCACATATTCAATCAATCATAACTGAATTAATTCCTTTACTTAAAATTTATGAAAATGAAGGTATTTTGCAAATAAGATCAAGTTTAAGAATGCCTGATAATCAAAAACAAAATTTGTTATTTAATCCAAATGAAGAAACCCTTTGGAATAATCAACTAATTAATTTCCACGAATGTTTATATGAATTTAAAGAAAGGTGGGTAGGGAAATAATGCAACTACTTTTCAATAATTAATTAATTCTCAAATATAAAATTAAGGTATTTTTCAGGCAGCTTTGAGCTCCTATTAAAAATCTAAATAAAAAACCTTTATGAGAAAAATATGAGAGGAAAAAGGGGCGGGACTTATGTATGGGGGGGGGGGGGGTGCTTTTTATAATTTTTTGTTTTTTTTTTCTTGGTGTGATTTTTAAGAAAAGCCTTTCTGTATATTAAAGTTTGATTTAAACTTTATAATTATTTTGTTAACTGTATATTAATGGAAACACGTATTAGTTATTATTTTAAGCTTTGAATAATCTATCTCTTAGGTTAATATTTACTTAAAACTTTTAAAGTTTTTTAGTGCAGCATTTATTGGTTTTCCAGACTGGGATGATATTTTAATATCGCCAAGTGCTATTCCTTTTACAAAAGGATTAATGGACTTTTCTATGGCAAATCCTCAAGTAGCCGCTTTTCTTCCAAAAAGATATCCTGGACAGATAGAGATTTTAGGTACATGTTAGTCACTAGATTAGGCCTAACCCAAGGGCATAACAAGGCCAGTCCTTCGATTTATGTTGATTTATATTATCTTAATTTCTTTATCCCGACACGCTTCTTTTAGTAAAAACACTGAATTTTATGATTAAAACCTCCAAAATTTTTTAGAGAAATTACTTTCTCGGTCTCCAACTTCACCAATCGAACATTTATTTCTTGAATCTATTAAATTCAGTATTTGGCCTGAAGATGCTGAATTTATTAGTAAAATAATTTTGAGACCTCAATTAGTTAATTCTGTGGATTTACATGGAGTTGGGCAAATAATTGAAGGTTTTATTCAATCGGAATTACCAGAAAATATTGCTTTTTTTGTTCATGCCAGAGATTTTAAAGTAGGTTTAAAATATAGGTAAATAATTCTTTTGAGAATTAAACAATAAATATCACGAAGATTGACCGAAAGATTGGCCTAAAAACCATTAGTAGGGCAGTTCAAAATGATGCTTTTGCCCCCAACATTTAAATTTTTACAATTTTTTTATTTGTATACTCGATAAATGAATCTTAAGCTTGACTCAAAGCTTTTCGTTGCCATTTTCGTTTAGAGAAAGGGTAGTACGAAGCTAGTTTTCAGCCGAAAGCGCAGGTCCAGACCATTGTGCTGAAAGTTAATTAAACTTCCAATAGATTACTCTCCTCTCTCTAGTGATTAATACCCCTCTCTCTAGTGAGTAGTTGAAAAAATAATTACTCGGAGTTAATTGAGTAAATATGTTATTTAAAACAATTTCTTCTAATTTTTGTAGAATGCCAGAATGACAGCCATTTTGCCCCCAGCTCTTCTATTAACCAGAAATACACTTTTAACTTTACAAAAACACAATTTATCTTCATTTTCTTCTTCACCATTATTAAAAAAATTGCCAAAAAAAGAAAAATATTTAAATTTATTGAATAAATGCTTAAAAAGAAAAAATATTGAGGGACGAGTTAGAACACAAAAACAATCAAAATGTTTTAATTATGCTCAATGTAAACCTAAAATTAAATTACAAATTGAAGATGAAGAATGTTTGAATACAGACAATTTGTGGGAAGAAATTTATTTGCCTAATAAAAACTTAAGAATTTTTGTTCTTGAAGAAAGTCGTTTAAAAATTAAAAAAATATGTCAAATATAAATATTAAATTTAATTTGAATTTGTTAAATCGGGCCTCGTTTGAGGGGTAATTGGAAATTTTTAAGCATATAACGAGCGGCACATTAAATAGAGCTTAGTTGCTGGAGCTAATCTCTCTCTAATCTCTGGCCGGGGTTAAATTATCAAAATTGCTCTTTAACAAACAACGAACACTCGTTTAGGTTTAAATTATCGTATTTGACACCTTGGTATTATTATTCTATCTGATATTAAAAATTGTACAAAGCATGGAATCGATGGAGGTTAGCTTGGGAGAAATTTTGGAAAGTTTGTGGGGAATGAAGAGCATAGTACAATTATTATGCAACAAACCTTCACATAAAAATTGACTTATTCTTACCTTTTACTTCATTCCTTTCCCTCATTCATTTATTAATTTTTTATATTTTACCACAAAAATTAATTTGAACAAAAATAAACATACCCAGACTTCCGGTGTTGAGGATCATAGTTGATAAGAAAAGATTTACAAATAACATTCAAGAAAAAACTCCTATTTTTATCTGAAATCATTACAGATTAAAGACTCGACCATTCAAATCCTCATTTTTGAATATCTTAGTTCGGAACTGATAATTTTAGATATCCGTCTTGCCGATAGATCCCATGATCCCATGTACTTTAAAAGTTTCAGTTAACGAAGCTATTGTTTGATTCGAACAAAATTTGACTGATTCAGTCTAGAAGGCTCTCTTCTTTATTTATTTTTCGTTTATTAAAATTTTATCTTAAAAATTTACTATTTCAAGTATTTCTTTAAATTTCCAAAATGGGGCCTATTCGCTGCTTTTTCCATTTTTGTGGTTATTCCATATCTAGATGGCCTTTCTGTTTTGGTTTGATTAGTCTGGTTGTTGTAATTATTCTTTCAACTGGAATGGTTTGGATACAAATAAAAGATAGAATAAGGGACGGATATACACCAGAAAATTCTCCTTCAAGACTAGAGAATGAAGCAATGCGTAGATTTTGGAATTCTTATGGTTTTTAATTTTTAAAAATTAATTAAACGTCTCATCTTTAAATTCAGTCAAACCCCATTTTTACACATAACTCCTAAGGAGTGAAAGATTGTACTTCTAATGGAGGCACCTTAACTTTTGAACAATTAGTTACCTAGTTATCAACTAAATTAAAAAACGATAAGCAGTTTAACGAGGGAAAAAATGGGAAGGGAAACGAAATTAAAAATTACCCAATTCTCTAATTAATAAATTTTTATTTAATATTTTTCCCTTATTATTTAGGTGATCCAATGAAAGCACAATTAATGATTCGTTCTAAAATTCCCGAACAAAACATGGTAAGGGCGAGCCACAAGTCCATTCCCTACTTATGAATGTGATATAGGGTGTCCTGATTCTTTTAATTTAACTCTAATTAATTCTTTTTGAAATTATTTTTTAACCATCCACAAAATAGGGATGGTAGAATTCCTGGAATTCCAAAATAGGATTCATTTTCGAAGTGGGGAGGGGGTAAATATTTTAATTAAAATTAGTACTAATTAATTAATTAATTAATTAATTAATTAATTAATTTAAAGTTATCTTTACAACATTTAAATGAAGCAATTAAATTAATGAATTTTTTAATTTGGGAATTTAAATATTCTGAAAATAAAAAGAATCAGAATTTAACTAAAATATTTACTTATTCTGATATTTGTTCTCCTTATTGTGAATTTAATTTTGGATTGGAACTTTTTGTGGTAAAGATTAATTAATTATCTAATAACTTTTCTAAAATATTTTCGAAAATAAAAAAGCGAGATTTTATATGTAGATTTTCTATTCATTTTTATTTTTGGATGGATACATATCATATACTCTATTAATAACCCTGGGTAATTAATGTTTCAACATTTCGCTCGAAGGGGTAACTAATAGAAGCAAGGTGTTTATTTGAGGGAGGGTAATTAATAGAGTATATACGGTAACTCTCCAATGTTATTGGTGATATACCTCCTTTTCGAAATGGAGGTATTTCTAAAATTGTTGTAGAATTTCTTCCTAAAAGTTGTAGAATTTCTCAGAATTTCTTCCCTAAAAACATGAAATGTGAAGATTTTATTTGAGAAACAAATTAAAACAATTTTTAGGATGCTTTTACCCAAACAATTGCCAGTTTAAAAGAAGAAAATGAAAATTTAAATCAAAATTTATCTTTTCCAATATCAACAATTCATTCACTTGATATTCATTTAGATTTATTCTTTTTTGGTGTTAAATTGAAAGAAGAAAATAATGAAGAAACAAATAAATATAATATAGAACAAAAAATTACAAATATGGAAAGAATTGAAATGGTAAGGGGGGGGGGTATTTAATTATAAATGGAAAATTTAAAATGAGTGAGATATAATTTAATTTAAATTCTCTATCATTTACAGGTTCTAATTAGATTTCAATCAGCCCGTTCTAGCCCTGAACGTACTCGTCAATTAATTATTTGGGAATTGGGTGTTTTTGATTTTTTACAAAATAAATTTAAAAGTGATATTATTGATGCTCAGGTGTGGTATTTGTAACTAGAAAATCTTAGTTAAATTAAATTAACATATGGAGGAGATAATTAAAGATTTTATAGTGTACACTGACTTAACTAAGACTGATAGTAACTACCTTTGAGCAGATAACTACCACTCCAAGTCAGGAGTTTAACTACAGAACTACAGTTCTTATCAATTCAATTGAGAATTGCTGAGACTTGTCATGTTCAGTTTTATCTCATAGAGTCGTCGGAAATCCCAAAATTAATTCAACTTTGTTTAAAATTTTTTAAAATATCTTTAGAATTTATTTACAACAAAATTCCAAATATTCACAAAATTTTCAGATTATTGGGGTTGAAATTCTGGAAAGTGAAATGACCCGTGATCATCAAGATAATGTCAAGTATTTTGCTCTAGGTCTTTTAGCTATTGCAGTTTTTGTTGGAATTAATGTTTTTGGAACTTCTGCAGTTTTGGGAAATTTTGGTAAAATTTTTTATAAATTGTTGGTAAAGTCAGTTAAATGAGAGACATTAAAAAACATTCTCTATAAACTATATTCTTTTGGCTTTATCAGAGGAAGGCTGGCGATTTCCAAACTAAAATAACTTGGATAACTAACAAAAAATTTCAGTTTGGATATGTATGTTTTCTTTTAATTGCCAAGGATTCGTATATCACATTTTTTATCCCCAAAACCTTAAGATTTCTAAAAGAATATACTTATATAATAATTAATAAATTATTAAATATCTAATTAAATTTGAGAGAATATTTCACATTTCCTCATTATCTTATTTTCTAGAGAATCCTTTTAATTTAAAAAAGCCTTTCAAAATTTTAAACAGATTTTGGTAAAACTTTTATTGCCATTGCTACAATTCTCTGTCCAATGCTAGCCATCGGCTCCACTTTCGGAATTTTATCAATTTTTGGAATTCGAATAAATTCTTTTCTTTTAATCCTTCCTTATTTAATTCTCGGAATTGGCGTGGATGATGGATTTCTTTTAATGCTTAGATGGTTCCAATTGGCAAAACACATTGTTGAACCGAGAAAAAGATTAAAATTTGTAATTAAAGAAATGGGGCCTTCAATTACTGTTACTACTTTAACTAATGTTATTTCTTTTGGTGTTGGGGCTTTTACACCTACTCCTGGTAATTTTTGAATTTTATATAGATCAGGGAGTCCTCTGACACAAGACTTAGATTTTTGGATTTGAGATGAATTTTTTTGGGTTTTCAGGTTTTTGGGTTTTCCGATATGTCCGCACACATTTTTATCTGTATCCGTTTACCCGAGGTAACCGAGTACGTGGATCATGGCTGGATGCAACTGCGGATTGCGGCTGCGGAAAGTTTTTTTCAGTTGCGTTCAGCCTTGACGGGGATGCTATTTTCTCCCTCGTTCCCACCCTTTCTCGTTTTTTTCGATCCTTCGATTCCCCGTCTTTGCCTCCCCTCCCTTATCCTATTTTAGATCTACGCCATACCTGATAATAAATGATAAAAAAATCCTCTATATTTTTTTAATTTCAGAAATTCGTCTCTTTTGTTTCGGAACAGCAATAGCACTAACATTTGATTATATTTTACAATTAACACTTTTTTGTCCGATAATGCTTTTCTCTGCTAAATTTGAAAATTCTTCTTCAATTAAAAAACAACCAAAAGTTGATTTAATAATTAGTGAAAATAAAATGTCTGCAGTAATTAGAAAACGAAAATATTCGCCTTTTGAGGCTAATAATAATGATAAAATAAATGGATGGATTTATAAAAAATTGAATAAAATTATTAAATTATATATTTATTTGTTAAATACAAGGTAGGTAATTGTGAATATTTTTGAAATATTTTTTAACTTAAAATAATTAAAGTATGTTGTTAAAGTTAAGTTTCTTTTCTTATTCCCTTATTAATTGTTTTGATTTTATTAACATGAGTTCACTTGCTTTTCGGTTCATCCGCTTTCGGTTTTGGTCTTATCCAAATACCCGTGTTTATTTATTCAGACATCCTCCTCAAAATAGTTTTGCCCTGTTATTTTCAAATATTTATGAAAACTGTTAATTGTACAAAATTTTTACGGGAAGTTTGTTCTTATCTCAAGAAGCTAGGATTTATTTTGATTGAAGTTTCCAGACTAAAGAGTCAACTTTTAACATATTATTAATTCTCATTTAAAACATTTATCTTAAAAATAATTATTTTAAACATTTTTAGATGTTTTTTCCTTGTAACAATTGTTTGTTTATTATTTTATTTGTATGTAGCTATTGTTGGTTTATTAAATATTAATTCAAAACTCGATTTAAACAAAATATTACCGAGAGATTCAAAAATGCGTGAAAGTAGTTTATTGCTTGAAAAACAAGGTAAGATGGATCTTAAATATATGGAAGTGAAATAAATTAAAATTCGTTTCCACTATTCATATCAATTAAATTTTTGTTAATTTTAAAGTATTGTTGGATCTTGGGTACCCTTTAAAGACTTCCAAGACCGAAAATTTTCCAAGGCTCAAGAAAGAGTCTTGGAAGTCTCTAGTACCCTCTAAGCTTATAAATATACCCATTCAAACAATTTTTCGGCATTAAAAGACATGGGAACTTATCAGGGAAAAGGATTTTTAAAAATTACGATTTTTAATACACCAAAAATTGAATTCTAGGACTAATTGAATATATACGATAAGGATTAACAATTTTTAAATTTTACTGAATTCCCTTCTCCCCCATAAAAATATTTAATTTATTTTAAGTTTGGTCAAATTATTTGCCAATTACTGTTCTAGTCGAAGGACCATTAAATATTTCCTCTAATAAACAAATGGATAAGTTTTGGGAAATGGTTGATGAATTCGAGTCTATGCCTAATTCTAAGGGTAATTTTCGGAAAAAAATATTTGAAATAATTTTTTTCTTTTTATGTCCCTTATCTTCCTTTATTTGGCTTCGTGATTATATTAAATATTTTATGGGAGAAGATGATAGTATTGAAAGAATGAATAAATTTATTGTTGAATTGGGAATTGATGGAATTGAAAAATTAAGGAAAAATGAAAGTAATGTTAGAGAAAGAGAAATAAATTTATCCAAACTTGAGCAATTTTTGGATTTACCTTTTTATTCACATTGGAAAGCTTCTATTAAATTAGAAAATAAAAGGTGATGATAATTTATTATTTAGGGACACGTACGCAGCCATAACGGCGCAAAGCCATAACTAGCTGGTAAATTTCTGACCTTTATTAATTTTGGTACCAATTTCTTTAGCTCGATGAGAGGAATCGTTTGATATTAAATTTGTTAAGATTCGGAAATCTTGAAGCAAGTTATAGCTTTGCGCTGTCATGGCCGCGAGCCTACTTGGTCTGTACGCATTATTTATATGTAGTGGTAAAAGGGTGGTTAAAATTCCTTTAAGTCGATTAAGCAAAACTGAAGTACAACACAAGTTCTATGCCCCAATATCAGTTTTGCCACTATCCAAGTGCCAAAAATTGCCAATTATTTATTATTTTTTTAGTTCAAATAATTCGCCTACACTTTCTGCTTTTACCCTTTCCTTTGTTTACTATAACGTCTCGGATTGGCAAATTCGTATAAATTTAATGCAGCAATGGCGTTCAATAGCTTCTCGACATTCAGAAAATTTAAATCTTTCAGTTTGGATTTGGGAAGAAAATTCGTTATTTGTAGATCAAATGCTCTCTCTTGGATCAACAACCTTTCAATCATTTGTGGTAAGGTTTCTAAAGTAGCAGGCTACCTTGCCAAAAGGGCATCATAACTCTATCAAATAATTGCCAAATTTTTTAAATTTGGAATGATTCGATAGAGCCTAACTAGATAGTCGATTGAGTTATCAATCGAACACATTCATTCGAACAATTAGCAGGCCTGCAGTAAAATAAAGGATGGAAGGGCAAAGTGGCCATGGCTTTTTATTCCATATTTTTGTTATTTTTTCTTTAACATCCCATAATTTTTCTAGTTAACACTTGGATGCATGTCTTTAGTGTGTTTATTATTTATGCCAAGTTTATTTAGTCTTCTAATTGCTTCTGCTTCAATTTGTTCAATTTCTATTGGGGTTTTTGGTTTTCTTTCTTGTTTTGGTTTTGATTTAGATCCTGTTACTATGGTAGATTTAAATTTTTAAAAAGTGGATAGGTTACTCAAAGCCTCTTAAAATTCGAAAACTCGAATCGAACTAGAACATTTTACCTTTAATTGAAACACTCATGTGAATTTTAACAGGAGTCAAAATCCTTATGAAATTTAATAATTTTCGTTATTTGTAATCGAAAAAATTCAAATATATTTTTGAAAGGCAGCAACATTAATGTCCATTGGCCTTTCTGTTGATTTTGTTTCCCATGTAATTTATCATTTTCGACAAAATGTTTTTTATAAATTCCATAAATGTTCATTATCTCCTTCCGGTTTTATCGAACAATGTATACCTCTTACAACTAAAAAAGACAAATTAAAATATACTCTTGAGTCAGTCGGTTGGCCTATGTTGCAAGCTGGTAATTTGTGTTTAGTTAGAAATATTAAAATTTAATTTAAAATCAGAAAGAATCAGAAAATAAATAATTGCTTAAATCAAAACAAAATCAGAATTTAAAAATAAAAATAACTTTAAAGAATATTTTGTTATTGTCGTTGGTGTATGGCATTTTATTCCTCAATGAGCCATATTTTATGGCAATAAGTAGGGCTAGCCAAAACATTAGAGTTTCACCGGAAGTTCCGGTTCCGGTTCCGGTTCCGGAAAGTTCCGGTGTTTTTTTGGTTCCGGTTCCGGTTCCGGGAACCGGAACTCAAATTGGTTCCGGTTCCGGTTCCGGCTCCGGTTTTCAAATTGGAACTTTTTTACACCCCTAAGGATTTGTTTTTTTAGAAAAATTAATAAACTACTCGTACTCTCATGCTTGTGTATTAAAAAAATTGAAAGAAATATGTTTATTTTCTTTCAGTTGATTTAATATAAGCGGGTGGCCGAGTGGTTGAATGTTATATCGGAAGATGTGGATGGATTAATTTGGATTTTGAGTTATATCATGATTTCAAACGGTCATAGGTAATATCGTGGATTTGGGTGTGATATCGAGGAATTGAGTAGGTAGAGATGGGATTTTCTTGCAATTCAGAACCTTTTTATCGCCCGATATCAAACACGACGACAAATTTTCGGCTCGGTTTTGGTTAACCGAAGAATTTGGTGAAACCTACAACCCAAATTAAAATACAAATTTTTTAAAATTTGCTAACAAAAATTTTTTTTAAGTTCCGGTTCCGGTTCCGGTTCCGGGCCGGAACTTAGAAAAGTTCCGGTTCCGGTTCCGGGAACCGGAACTTAAATTGGATCCGGTTCCGGTTCCGGTTCCGGTCAAAATTTCGGTTCCGGTGAAACACTACAAAACATGCATTTTTGTGTGCGGACATGTCTTGAAAGATAAGACCAGAAATTGTATTTTTACATTGGTACGAGCACCTTAGGACCAGAGGTGGATCGGAATTCCGATTTCCGACGTTTTTTTCCTTCCGATTTCCGCCTTCCGATTTCCGAAAAAAATTTTGATTTCCAATTTCCGAGTTCCGACTTTTAAGCCATTTCCGATTTCCGACACCTCTGACTGTTCCGACCACCTCTGCTTAGAACCTGCCATTCTACACAGATTGTGGCGAATTTGGTTCAAAAAAGGATTTGAGGAATAATAAAAAATGCCCCAGACCAACAACACTATTATAACTAGGGCGTGTCAAAATATGCACGGAAAAACCAAAAATATGCGCATATATATGCACCGGAAAAGGCCTAAATATGCACTAAAATAAACAAAATTTCCCAAAATATGCACTAGATATGCAGCAAAAAACAGCAAAAATGTGCTTCAAAAATTAATATTTTAAATAAAAACGATAATTTAGAATCTAAAATAGCAATTTAGAGCACTTCTAAAAGATTTTACGGACTTTTTAAATTTATAAAAAAATTTTTTGAACCAAATTTAAAGAACTATTTTTTGAAAAAATTTTTCCAAAATTTTCTGAAAAAAATTTTTGAAAAAAATTTTTTATGATTTGCCAAAAAATAATTTTTAAACTACAAATTTCTCAAAAAATGCCAAAATATGTACAAATTTTGGTAAAAATATGCAAAATTTACCAAAAATATGCACAGATATGCAAATATGCACGAAAGTACCGAACTAACAAAAATATGCATTAAGAACCCGGTCCCTAATGTTTGTACAGATGAAAAACACCATTTTTGAGCGTCTCAGCTCATGGCATATCCGCATGCCAAATATGCATTTGCATGTTTTGACACGCCCTAATTATAACGTATTTGAAATAACTCTAAAAATATTTTCACAAAAATTTCCAAAAGGTATTTCAACAATGTTGTGTATACTTCCACTAGCTTTAATCAACAAATATTCCCCAACAGTTTTTGTTTATGCAGTAATATTTGTTTGCAGTTTGGGTCTTCTACACGGACTTGTTTTTTTGCCTTGTTTGCTTTGTAATTTACCTATTTGGTGTAATTCTCAACAAAATTATTTTTTTGGATTTTTCTCTAATTTTGGAAAATTTCAAGTTTATGAATTGGATATGATTACAATTGAAGAGAGAAAAGAGCAAAGGAATTAATTAAAATATTATTAAGTTAATCTTTTATTTTTTTATTTTTTAAAGCCTTATTTAGCCATTTGTTGAAATTAAATGTTTTAATTAAATTGTTTAATTTGAGAACTGATTAAAATTACTTTTAATTAATCTCTGATAAACTGATACAGTTATGTATGTTTTCATAAAAAATACTCGTCACCGATTTTTTTACCAGCCGTCAAAAATTTTATGCATATGTATTGAAGCCAAATATGTGAAGCTTCAGTGTTTCTATTTTCTTGTCTTTCAAGACCAATTTTCCCAACATTTTAGGAGATTTATTTTCTAAAAATCCAGACAATAAATAGTCCTTAATTAAAATCTAGGTTAATCTTTTATTTATTCTTCCCCCAAAACCTCTCCTTTTCTAAGCCGGGAAATCTTTTTACAACTGTGCAGAATTAACTGCAGAACAGGCCAATTGAGTTACATAATCTAAACAAATACCTCCATTATTTCAACTATTGCTTTCCCCCATTGTTTTTTACAGCTCAATGCTTTTCCTACCAACTTACAACCAACCTTTAGGGCCACTTTTTGACATTTATTGTTTTTGTCTGTGTGGTTTGAATTCTTTTGTTTTTTCTTTTATTTTTTAACAATTCTCTTACCAAAACTTTTCTTTCATTCCAAAACCTCTCCTTTTCTGACCTTGTTCTCCTCGTCCACCACTACCCCTTCCCCCCCCCCCCCCCCTCAACCCTCCTTCCCCCCATTCATTTTTCTCCCTCTTTTCATTCTTTTTTCAATCGATTATAAAATACCCTCGCAATACTTCCTCTCCATAAAATTAAGAATCGAGAATTTTTTTTATTTTTTTTCTTGTTAATACTAGCCAAAATCAACACTTTCTTTAAATTTATTTAAAGACTTAACAAAAATTTAAAAGTTGAGAGATTTAATTTTTTTAAAGGGGGGAAAGGAGAAGAAGAAGAACATTCCTCCTCTCTATTAATACAAAATAAACAAGAAATTAAATTTTAAATGTTTTGGGTATATTATAAACACTTTTTACTTTGTTAGAGGACAGAAATGTCCCGCGTTTTTCATTAATCACGTGTTTGTTGATTTTAATTTTAAATTTGAAAATTAATTGAGCGTAAAGTTTCGGGTTTATTTTGGTGGTTGAATGTTCTGGGCGCGTACCGTAAATGCTCGAATAATTACCCTGGGCAATTATTGTTTCGACCTCTCGCTAGATGGGGTAATTATTTGAGAGGGGGTAATTATTTGAGCTTTTTTTAAACAGGCTAATTATAACTATTTTAAGAAGGGGTAATTATTTTTTCAACCTCTCGCTACATGGGGTAATTAATTGAGAGGGGGCAATTATTTGAGAGAGGGTAATTATTTGAGCATTTACGGTAATTAAAAGTTTAAATAATTTATTCAAAGATTGAAATTTCTTTCTCAAAATTTATAAAAATACAAAAAATAATATTTTACTTTAATTTACAAAATTTTTTTCCTTAACGAGAATTTCTGATTTTCAAGCTAATATCATTCTTGGTTAATCACTTAAAATTTAAAATTCTCACCCCAAATTTACTCAAAATTTAAAATTTTTAATCACTTTTGAATCATCTAAACTTAAAGTTTTTGTTTGATTTAATATTTAGCAGCAGCAAACAACACAAAATTAATGACACATCCTTCCCTTCATTTCCCTTTTAATTTTATTTTTTTTTTCACAAAATTCCCAATTCTTTTTTTTTTGTTTTATTTTTCCTTTAATTGCTGGTTGAGAGCTTCTCCAAATATTTCCCATTCCAAATTTTATTTTATTTTCGAGTGACCTATTATAAAATATTTTAATTGCAATAACAAAATTTATTTTAAAATTAAGGAAATTTTTATTTTAATTTTAAATTTCTTTGATTTAAGAAACTCATATGTATACCTTAAAATATTTAAAAATAAAATATTTAAAGTTTTTAATAATTATTAATTAATTATAATATTTATTTAATCATTTTTCATTCTTCAATTTTCCTTATTTTTTACTTTCAATTAAATTTTATTCCGTCTCGTTCAGTTAATTTTTCACCATTCAGTGGCTTATAAATTACTCCTATACTTATCTTTTTTTAATAAAAATATATTTTAATTGTTTTTGAATAAAAATATTTTTAAAAATATATAAATATTTTTTGTTTGAAAAAATATACTAATTTAAAGAATTGCTGGAATTATTTAATTAAAAATAATTTAGGGAAAAATCCCTAAAAATTTTCCTAAAAATTTCTTCATATCCCTATATTTTGTAACCTACATTTTCTTATTAATCTTTAATTTTCCTTCTTTAATTTTAGTGGAATACATAAATATACATATAAACCAGTTCCCATGGTTGCCGTTATAATAAAATGCTAAATTATTTTACTTAAGACTTTAAAAAACTTTAAAAACTTATATTTATTTTAAATATTTAAAAAAAAAGTAACATTTATTTTGTCGAGAATCAATAAATAAAACATTTTTATTTTCTTGACTTCATTCATGCGTTTTTAACCCCCCCCCCCCCCCCCCCCCACTTTATTTTAAATATTCTTTTGGGAAAGGAAATTGTTGTTTAATAGTTTCGCAATACTTTAAAGAAGAGAGTAAAAGGGAATGTTTCTAAATAGGTTTTTTTGTACAAAACAAAGGAAATTCTGAAAAGAAATTAAACGAGATTGGGAATTTACCTAAATTTCCTCTTTAATTTTGCAAAATAAATACTTAAACCCTGTAAAACAATAAAAACCCTTCGCGAAAAAATTGACAACCTTTCTGACCGGAAGAGCTTAAATCTGTTAGAATTTTTTAAAATTTTTGTTTAAAGAAAATTCTAGTCACCTATTGAAGATAACAAATTTTTAATTACAAATTATTCACCTATTTGTCACCTATTTTCACTTATCACCTAAATTTTTTCATTTATCATAAAAATTAATTTTTTTTTCATTTTTTTATTCAAAAAATATTTTCCTCTATTTTATTAAGTGATGAACAAATAAAAACATAAAAATAATTTCAAAAAATGTTCTTCTTCTCCTTCTTCTCTTTTCCCTTAAAAAACAACAATTATTTCCAAATCAAAACATTAATTTCCTTTTTTCTCCTTTTACAATTTTTAAATTTTTCAAATTCCCAACAACAAAATAATGAAAATAACAATAATAAAATAGCGGCAGTTTATTCTTCTCAAAAAAGAGAATTAATTTATAACGGGGAAATTGATAATAAGAGTGAAGAAATATTAATTAATAATCATTGTTCTAGTGGAAAACCTTGCAAATCTGGGTTAATTATTCCGGTATTGGAAAATTTTGAATTTTTTTTTGAAATTTATTTTTTTAAATTTTAGTTGTGGGGACCACAGGTATTTATTTTTTAATTTAAAAAATACACTTGGTCGATTCTTTTGGCCGGGTTAGAACCTGAAAACCGAGTACTCGGTTGTAGTATTTAATATTTATAATATTCAATCGCTTATAGTTTATGCATTTTTTAAAAAGAAATTTCAAATTTTGGCAGAGTTGTGAGTTTTGGCGTTGTGTTTAGCCGTTTAGCGTTCTTTTTAAATTTAAAACCCTGTAAACGTGCTGACTTTATCTAGGACCAGAGGTGGGTCGGAATTCCGATTTCGACGTTTTTTTCCTTCCGATTTCCGAAAAAAATTTTGATTTCCGATTTCCGAGTTCCGACTTTTGAACCATTTCCGATTTCATTTCATCGTCAATATTTCAAAGTTTTTTCACACCTTTAAGGAAGTATCTCTACCAATTCGTTGTTTCCGTGCTTTTGTGTATTTATTGGCCTTATTATACCTCTTTTATGGAATTTCAATTGTTTCTGACAGGTAAAAATGTTTTTTAAATTTTGTTAGTTTTTTTATAGATTTATGGCTGCAATAGAAGTAATTACAAGTCAAGAACGAGAAGTTGAAGTAACTAAAGTGACTGGAGAAAAAATAAAAGTACTTGTAAGGGTGTGGAATGAAACTGTTAGCAATTTAACTTTGATGGCTTTAGGTAGGAGGAGGGTGATTTTCATTTGAAATATTTTATTTAATTTCATCCAAAACTGATCGAAAAATGGCATGAATATTTGCTTTTGGTTGACTAATATTTTTTACTAGGAGGAATATTTTTGGATAAAAGTTTATTATTAATAGGGCGAGGATTAGTTAGGCAATTGAAGATAATAAATCAGTCGTTAAAATAGACAAGAAAAAGACCCAAAAAATTGAAATATGCATGACAATATTAAATGTTTAAGTTGCCAAACCTTAATTACCTATTTTAAAATTTTATAGGGTCTTCTGCACCAGAAATTCTCCTTTCAGTAATTGAAATTTTTGGCAATAATTTTGAAGCAGGGGATTTGGGACCGAGGTGAGAATATATTTATGTATAAAACTTGAAGAACAATTAAAATTAACCCTACAGTAAAACTGTTTAGTAAATTTTAAAGGCGTAGGGCCTAAACAATTCCTTCCTAACAAAAAATTCATTGAAATAATTTTTAATATTTTGCCGAATATTTTAAAAATCCAGATAATTATTTTAATTTTCGTTTGCAGCACCATTGTGGGAAGTGCTGCATTCAATTTATTTATAATTGTTGGAATCTGCATTTTGGCATGCCAAATATTTGAATATTTTAATAGAATTTTTTAATTTTTCAGATTGTTCCCTCAAATGAAATAAGAAGAATTGACCGAATAGATGTTTTTTGGGTTAGAATAATTTTTATTTTTTAAAATTTTTTATTTCAGGTAACCGTAATTTGGTCAACATTTGCCTATATTTGGCTTTTTCTTATTCTCTGCGTATTTTCACCAAACGTTGTTGAGGTATCTGGATAAAATAAATACTTAAATTTTAATTGAAAAGAAAAAAACCCTAAATTTATACATTTAAGGCTTTTATACATTTAACATAGCTACAATTGTGTCGTTCCCTCTGGATATTTTTAAAAATATTTTTAGGTATGGGAAGGATTGTTAACACTTTTGTTCTTCCCTTTAACTGTTGGTAGCGCCTTTATAGCCAATAAACATGCAAAAACTTTTGGACAACGTCTGTTGGGTGCGAATGCAATAACTTCATTTAGACATACTCCAAGGCTTGGAAAACAGCAAAGTACTCATGTTGGAATTAGGACTGCTAATGGAAGTGAAAAGGACGTTGAGTAGGTTTTTCTCTTACAAGTTGTGATATTAGAGCTTTGGAATTTTTTTTGTGAAATTATATTGGGCAGAAGGTAATTTTGAATGTGGACTCTTAATCAGAATTTTTTGTTTTCCAATGCTAGATTTTACATTAAGCAGAGATCCATGTAATAAATAGACCGTAGTTAGGGATCAGAGCCGGTTCTATTTCGTACATTCCTTCGAAATAGTACTGTTAGGAAGTGACAGAGATACCTAAATATTTTATTATAAACAAGAATATTTGTTTGGATTTTCTAATCCATACAAAAAATGGATTTCCGAAATCTTTAAACTTTCTGTTTTCGAGATTTCAATTCTCATTTCTTATTATTTTACGTACCTAATATCTTAATTTTTCTCAGTGTTGCACTTCTTGGCCCACTCAAAAACGATTCTAATTCTGTAGCCTTAATGCAACAAAGACATTATTTAGACGTTATAAAAAAGCTACGAGCTGAAAATCCCAACCTTTCTGTACAAGAATTGGAAAGGTTGGCATCTAACTGGATATTTACTGAAGTACCCAAAAGCAGAGCTTTCTATAGAATTCAGGTGGAAAAATTAAGATTTAGAAGAATAAACAGAGATAATATGTATCTATAGGCAATTCGTAAAATGACAGGAAATGGAGATATAAGCATTAAAAGACTAAAGGAACGGGCGGAAGATGAACATCAAAATGTTGCAATGCCTTTAATGCCTGATAAACCGAAACAAGTTACTGTTGGGTAGGTTTTTTATTGAGAAATAGATAAATAATTTCTTGAATTTTTTTAGATTTGATCCAGCAGAATATTGTGTTTTGGAAAATGTGGGAACTGGTAAGGAAGAGAATTTCAATATGAATTTTTAATTTAATCGAGTTATGCCCAGGCAAACCCCAAAACAAATTATTACAAAAATCTTTGAATTAAGACTTTTATTCCTAAAATACTTTTAATTTCACGAATACCCCAAATTAAAATCTCATAAAAAATATAATTTTAGTTGAACTTCGCTGTGTTCTCGACAGAGGGTCTTTGGCTGTTTCAACAGAAGTTACTGTTACATATACTGTTAGAAATTGGAGAAAGTTGTTTTAAATAATTTTTTATTTATTTTTAGACAATTGCTGACACCGCGGCAGAATATGAAGATTTTATCCCAACTCAGGGAGTATTAACATTTGGGCCTTCTGAAAGTGAGAAATTCATTGAAATTGGGATTGTTGATAATGATGAATATGAAGATGATGAACAATTTTTTGTAAGTTGTATATAGGGGTAATAATATATAATTTTAGGTAAAATTAACAAATTTGGATGCTTATTGTGCAGACAATCCTGGACAAAAATTGCCAGCACAGTTTAAGGAAGGGGGAAGTGTTGCTACTGTAATGATTATTGATGGTGATATAAATAAAATATTTTATAAAATAAAAATAAATTTAGATGATCATTCTGGTGCTTTTAGTTTTACTTCACAAGTATTTAGAGTACCTGAAAGTCAGGGGCAATTCGCGCTTGAAGTAAGGATTTTTTTGGAAAATATTTGTTGTTAAAAATAGATAAAGACAAGAGATTAGACTTGCTCATGGACACGGATATGGATACAGATAATATCAGGATGCCTGCGGATATCCGCCTTAAATATCCGGATACGGATACCAAAATCAGTATCTGTGAGCAGGTCTGCAAGAGATTGTACGATTGTGAAAAATAAAATAGACCGTGTATTTAGATGATCATTCTGGTGCAAAATTTAAATTTCCTAAAAACACTAGCTGTAACTTAATTTAAAATCATCGAATTCTAGATGCCCTAGTTTAATTCCAGCCATTATATATTTGTTCGGGATTTCTTACTACTAAACATATTGAGGAGTACCTTTTCGGATACTTTTCTTTCTTTTGGTACCTTCGTCTTTGCTTTCCTTCCATTGCCATTTTAATAAAGAAATTTTCCTAAATTTTTAAAAATCATTTTCTAAGGTTCGAAGGCACAGAGGTGCAAGAGGAGCAGTTATTTTACCTTACAAAACAATTGAAGGAAGTGCTAAGGAAGGAAAGGATTATACTGGACAAGAGGCCGAACTTTTATTTTACAATAACCAAACAAAGTTTTTTCGAAAAGAAACTTCAATTAAAAAATATTCCCTCTTTTAAGAGCAACAATTTATATCGAAATTACAAATGATGATGAATATGAAAAATCAGAAGATTTTTATGTTGAATTGGGCCCTCCCCGTTTAAAAGATTCTTCCCCACGTAGTGAAGTTGCTGGTGGACCGGTAATTGAACTTTTTTAAATTTAAATAGAAACGACAATTTTCTCTTGTTGGAAATAATAATTGGAATGTGTTTCCATATATCAAAGGGAAAATTTAAAATAAAGCACCAAAATAAAATATTTTATTCAAAATTAATTAAAAAGGATGGACGTCCAATTCTTGGAGAACACCATCGATGTAAAGTAGTAATTACTGAAGATCGAGAATTTAAAAATTTTATTGATAAAATGATTGCTAATGCAAATGTTGGGATTTTAGTAGGGACACATAGTTGGAGACAACAATTTATTGAAGCATTAACTGTTGAGGATATTGATGGAGGTATCTAAGGAGGGGGAGGGGAGGGGAAGGAGAATTTTTGATCGAGAAATAGGAATTCTATAGTTAATGAATAATTTTAGATGGTTCAATAAGCAACAAAGAAAAAGCTTTGCACGGAGTTTCTGTTTTTTGGAAATTACTATTTGCATTAATTCCCCCGACAGATTATATTAATGGGTGGCTAACATTTTTTGTTTCAATTTTTGTTATTGGAATATTAACTGCTTTTATTGGGGATATTGCTTCTTTGTTTGGTTGTACTATTGGATTGAGGGATTCTGTGAGGAAATTTTTTTATTTAAAAAATTTAGATTGAGATTAGGAATGTTCTGTTACAAATTTTTCGATCATTCCAGAGATACTGTAAATTTTTGAAAAATTTATTTGAATTTAAACTTTGTTTGATTGTTTCTGTAAAATAATTTTTATTTTTTGCTATTTCATTAATGAAACGATTTTTAAAAAATTTTTTCATTTCCATAAGTTTGGGAAGAATCTTATCTTGATAAGTATTTTAGAAATTAATCTAGAAATTATCTAAAGTGATAAATAAATATTTTATATTTATTCAAGGTTACAGCAATAACACTTGTGGCAATGGGGACATCACTTCCAGGTCTAAAAATATTTTATTCTAAAAATTTAATTTAATTTTTGCAGACACATTCGCTTCAAAAACAGCAGCAATTCAAGACAAAACAGCCGATTCTTCAATCGGTTATTTGAATTAAAATTTATATTTTTGCGAATATTTTCTTTAAGGAAATGTTACTGGATCAAATGCAGTCAATGTATTTTTAGGGATTGGGTTAGCTTGGGCAATAGCCGCAGTTTATCATTCTTTGAATGGGGGGCATTTTATTGTAAGGGAAATTTTTTTAATAAAAAATATTTAAATGAAAATTTTTAGGTAGAGGCAGGCTCTTTAGCTTCTTCTGTTACAATGTTTATACTTGGATCTGTAGGTATGTTTTGTGTGATTTTTAGCTTTATTCCTAAAAATATTTCCTTTATTCTTTCAGTAACAATTGGCCTTTTGCAATGGCGACGTTATAATCCGAACATTGCCGGTGAATTGGGAGGTCCTAGAGGAAATAAATTGTTCTCATTCCTTATATTCTTGTCTGTTTGGCTTGTCTATATTGTTTATAGTACTTTAGTTGCCTATTGCCTCGTTTAGATAAATTTTAATAAATTATCTTATTTAATAATATCTGTCGTTAATTTCCATTAATCTGTACCTAATACGGTTCGGAAAATCGCTCCGTTACGATGAAAGAAATAATTGTTTCCTGTTTTGCGCGAATCAGGGTTGCGTTTTAATTACGAATTACGATTCCGAAAAAATGTTCGATTACGACGCAACTGGCGCGAATAACTAACAAGAATGGCAACATTATACGTATATTTATAACGAATTAATGAAAACAATAAAAAATAAAGTCTTATATTTACATTTAAATCATTCAATAATCTCCCTTTTAATATCTCCTTTCCTTTGATGAATCTTTCCATCTATACAATTCTTCCATCTTCGAAAAAATCCATTAGAAGACGATTTAGGCGAATATCTTAGTGAATTTACTAAAAATTTGTTTAATTTTTAAAATTAAAAAGATCCTTTTCACCGTCTTCTTCACTTTTTTGTTTTTCATTTTTTTCTTCCTTTTGATTAGCCCTTCCAAATCTTTTAAATATTAATACTGTTATTAACAATAAAATCAAAGCAAAAGAAGCACTAGCAACGCCTAACATTGTCAAATTATTTTTGGTAAGGGCACACTCTTCTGCAGAATTGATGTGTTTCTAAAAATATTTTTTATTCACTTAAAATTCTTCCAAAAACACCTGTAATTCAAAGGAAAGATGTGGAGTTTCATCCAAATCAAAAATTAGTAATTGACCAGCAATTGTTTGTTGATCATTTTGGAGGTTATTGTTGGGTTGCCTAAGAAAGTTTTTAATAAAATTTATTTTAAAATTATTTTACTTCAAAAATCCTTGAGAGAATCTTTTAAATTATTAATATCAAAACTGCTAACCCCAAAATAGCCCCTAATCCTTTTCCTAAATCCATCCATAACTTTTCAATTAAATTTAGTATCCAAACCATTGGTTATTTAACGTTGATTTCCTTCCTTCCAATTCCTTGATTGTTTCTCTTTTATCTTCCTTTACTTCCTTACTCATTCTTCCATTTAAAGTAGGTATATCAACATTTATAGGAGAATCTCTTACCATTCTGCTTAATTCATCATCCCTTCCCCTTTCATCTTTATTTTCTTCCACTTCCTCTTCCCTTTTATTTTCATTCTCTTCTTCTCTCCAAATTTTCATTTCAATACTTTTCTTCCTCATTTTGTTCTTCAATCCATCTTCCCTCTTCTTTACTTCATTCAAATTCATCCTTCCTTCCCTCACATCACTCTCTTCCCTCATTTCATCCTTCCATTTCTCTTCCATTACCTCATCATTCTCTTCTCTCCTTCCTTCTTCCTCTCCTTCATCTTCTCCCTTCTCCTTCCTTTTATCTCTTTTCCAGTTTTCCCCCTCCCCCTCTTCTCTTTTTTCTTCCTCTTCTTGATTCATCTTTCTAATAATAAAATCCACTCCTTGTAATAATGCCCTTCTATCAGCTACAGAGTCTTTAAACATTTTTTGTAAACTTTGAGCATTTATTTGATCTGGTTGTAAATTTGCTAATAAATCTGTTAAGCGTGGTGGAAGGTTTAATTCACCAGAATCATTGTAGTCCTCCACATCGTCTTAATTTAAATAAGATTTATCTAGAGTTTTAAGAGAATTGAAGAATTCTTGGCATACTTTGGCTATTTAATTCCGAATTTACTTTACGGCTGTCTCTCTTAAGATTTTGAAATACTACTTAAAATTCTTCTCATTATTCATGATTTCTAGCTTCTCCTGTGCAACCCAACAAATTAAATTTATCCAAACACATTAAAATCTGTTAAGTTTAAGAATTTTTCTTTTTGACCTTTAATCTGTCAAAGAAGGTAAATATTTCCTTTAGAATCTACTTAATTCATTTTAAAATATTTATTTATCCCATCAAAGGAAATGCCCATGCTACGTCTAGATTTATCCCTTTTTCCATTATTCTTGCCCTATCTCAAAACTCAATAATTTATTCTTACTGTAATTTGAGAAATAGATCAAACCTTTCTTAGTCTCCATATTAACAAAATTATTAGGTCTAGGTAAATTATAAGTAGTGGTTGCTGTTGTTGTTGTACTTGTAGTAGAAATAAGTGTTGGTAAATTAGAAGAAGTAATAATATTTTCTTCTTCAATTTTTGTTGGCTGTTTTCTCCTAGGAATATTTTCTTCTGTTTCAAATTCAGCGCTAACTACTTCACGGTGTTTATGGCTACTTGAACGCAAAGCTGGTTGTGGGGGTAAATAAGGATTGTTGTTGTTAATTGTAATTGTTTTGGATAATCCTACTAGAAAAAAAGAAGAAATTAAAGAACAGAAAAGTGAAAAAAGAAATAAAATCAGAAAATAATTAGTGAAAATTAAGTAAAAATTCTAATTAGAAGAACTTGTAAAATTTTAGTAACCTCCAAACGTTAAGATGGAAAAGATCATTTAATTTACCTGGAGGATCTCTGCCAATTCCATAATTTGTATTGGGGCTATATCCAGGATTGAATACTTGTATTGCTTCTGGTTCACTGCTAGGTGCCTCCGCACCGTTTGGATGACTGGGAGGGGAAGCAAAGTCGCTAGATTGGCTTGAAATTAATAAAATTATATTTAAATTTGATTTATTTAGAAAAAAATCAAACTTTTCTTGGGTAGTTGTTGGCCTTTTAGCTATTGGAACTCTTAATGAAGTTGTTGTAAATTCAGGTTTACTACTTTCGTAGTCCTCGTTCTCTTCCTGACCAGGTGGTGATTGGTTAACTTCTAAAGGTTCATAATCTGTTCCAGAATTGCTCTTTGATGTATTAGCTATTTTATATTTTAAATTAATTTTAAAAGTTAGGGAAAAGACCCTCCAAAGAAGATAAAGGGTGCTTATTTTGGAAACAGAGATGAAAAGTTATAATTAGAATCCCGGCATTCCAATTTATTTATATCTTTACATTTATTCTGTTCATGTAGCTTTGTTTGATAAGTCAAAGTTTCATTATGAGATCCATTATCATCATGTAATTCTTCATCATAATTTATTCCTAAAAGATATTTTAGTAAGGAAGTATTTGTTTAATACCTCCTCTTCTCGAATATTTATCCCCATTCCTAGAAGACACTCTATCCGATTTAGTAACTCCATTACAGTTTGGTGGAGTAATTCCATCACACATTCCGTCTTTTTTCATGCACATCTTAAAGTTTAAATAAATCTAAATGGCGAAAATTTCCTAAAATAGCCCGTAATCAAGAGGCAATTGAGAAAAGCACTGGGGGTAATTCTAAGAAATATTTAATTACGAGGGTTGATTAAAGTTCGGGACTCCAAAAATCTGACCTGTATTTGGCAAAAGAACCAAATTCCTGGCCGATCAGCAAATTTAAAAACTTGAGATTCAGCATATGCTCTTTGAAGATCTGCGGAATAACGAGTACCCGTTATTAAAATTGGATCAAGTGGACAGCCCTGAGCATCCTAAATTAAGATAATAATTTAATTAAGATTTAAGGATATAGGGATATTTTTAAAAACACTTTACATTGTTTTCTTTTAAATAAAAACTAGCTGCAGGGCGTGTAGCTGAATTGGATTGTAATACTCTGGCGGTAAAGTTACGCTGGGGGGAGCCTTTGATACCATACTTTTTGATTTTGGAAAGCCTGACGGCTTTGGGGCTTCGCGCGCTGCTAGTGCTTTGGGGCGCGTCCAGGGACGCGCGTGGAAAGCCTGCGGCTTTAAAAGGACGCTAGATTTTCTTTTTTGCTTGGAGATTTACGTTAAAAGTGTTTAGATTACACGGCCTTCGGTCTCGGTTGGATTCTGGTTTGGGGGCCGAAGGCCCCCAAACCCACCGTTTAAACTGATTCTTTGCCTTCAGGTAGCTTTGGTGAGTTGTCTCGGGGCGTTTGGGGGGCCTTCGGCCCCCCAAACCCAGCGTTTAGTTGGATACTGTGCCTTGATGTAGCTGAGGTGGGTTGATTCGGGGCGTTTGGGGGCCTTCGGCCCCCCAAACCCAGCGTTTAGTTGGATATGTGCCTTTTGGTAGCGTGGTGGGTTTACTCGGGGCGTTTGGGGGGCCTTCGGCCCCCCAAACCCAGCGTTTAGTTGGATACTGTGCCTTTTGGTAGCGTGGTGGGTTTATCCGGGGCGTTTGGGGGGCCTTCGGCCCCCCAAACCCACCGTTTATTAGGATACTTTGCCTTTATTTAGCTTTGGTGGGTTTACTCGAGGCGTTTGGGGGGCCTTCGGCCCACCAAACCCACCGTTTAGACGGATACTTTGTCTTTAGGTTGATTTGGTGGGTTGACTCGGGGCGTTTGGGGGGCCTTCGGCCCCCCAAACCCACCGTTTAGGCAGATACTTTGCCTTTAATTAGCTTTGGTGGGTTGACTCGGGGCGTTTGGGGGGCCTGCGGCCCCCCAAACCCAACGTTTAGAAGCATGCTGTGCATTTTGTCAGCTGTGGTGGATTGTTTCGGGGCGTTTGGGGGGCCTTCGGCCCCCCAAACCCACCGTTTAGAAAAATACTTTGCCTTTATTTAGCTTTGGTGGGTTTACTCGAGGCGTTTGGGGGGCCTTCGGCCCACCAAACCCACCGTTTAGACGGATACTTTGTCTTTAGGTAGCTTTGGTGGCTTGACTCGGCGCGTTTGGGGAACCTTCGGCCCCCAAACCCACCGTTTAGTTGGATACTTTGTCTTTAGGTAGCTTTGGTGGGTTGACTTTGGGCGTTTGGGGGGCCTTCGGCCCCCCAAACCCACCGTTTATTAGGATACTTTGCCTTGAAGTAGCTTTGGATGGTTGACTTTGGGCGTTTGGGGGGCCTTCGGCCCCCAAACCCAGCGTTTAGTTGGATACTGTGCCTTTTGGTAGCGTGGTGGGTTTATCCGGGGCGTTTGGGGGGCCTTCGCCCCCTAAACCCACCGTTTATTATAGTGGTGGGTTTTTGGGCCAAACCCACCGTTTATAAACCCACCAAAGCTACCTTTTGGTAGCTTTGGTGGGTTTATTCGGGGCGTTTTGGGGGCCTTCGGCCCCCAAAACCCCCCTAACAGAAAACTCTGGCCCCCATAATTTGGTCAGACTCAACTGGACCCCCAACAATGTATATGTTTTTCGGTGGATTTGAGGTTGCTCTACAACATAACGTAAGTATTTTTTATTTATTACCCCTCCTTTGGTACCCCATTGGGTATGGTACCACCCACACCCGAAATTTCGACCTTTTGTAACTTTGGACAAAACGGTCAGAAAATTTTGAAAAAAAATATTTTTAGCCTCAGCTCGACGAGAGCTTTCGATTGATATAACATTTGGCCTATTTATGGCCATTTTTAAAAACTTATTTTTTTGACCGAAAATTTTGGCCGAAAAAATCGACCAAATTTTCAAAAATTCATAACTTTCCGAAAGTTGACCTTTTTTGAAAGTTTTAAAAGCTTATTATATGCAGAAAATTCTGCTCTATCAAGGAAAAATACTTTCGGCGCGAACCGCCGGCAAAAATCCCGAAATTTTTTCGAAAAACCGAAAAATTTCGGGTTTTTCGAAATTCGACCCCTACGGGTTCAATTTCGAATTTTTTCGAAATTTTCTTCGGTCAAAAAATACCTAATTTTTTACTCCATTTTATAAAGCAAACCCCATCCCAATCCGTCTCCCCAAAAAAAAGTTAAGGTCCCCCAAAAAATCCCGAAATTTCCCCAACAGGGGTACCCCTTTGGTTCTGAGGGCGGGGACAAAATTTTGGAATTTTGAACCAAAATTCGACTTATATGGTACTCTGACACCCGCTGAGTACGAATCCGGCGTCAGAAAAAATTTAAAAAATTTCCCCGGGACGTTAGAGTCTCATAAAGTTTTCGGACATTTTGCCACAACGCCTATAACTTTTTGAGACTCAAGTGGACCCCCAACATATTATACCTTTTTCTGACCGCCAGGGGACGCTCTTTCGATCTGGCTATCGAAATCGAGTTTCAATTCACGTTACAAAAAGTCGACTTTTCGACTCTGACACTTTGACCCAAAACACCCCCAAAAGTTCACCCGAGACTCTAGTGGTCAACTATTCATAACTTCCTAACATCCAGCCCTACAATACCACTCCCAGGCCCCAAGACCCCCCAGTTCTCAAAAACGCATTATAACGCGTTGAATTTTTGAACCGGCCATTTCGGCGCCACACTCAAGTGCGGCACCAAAATGTCCCGTCCCAAAAAATTTCCCATAGCCACTTACCTACTACCCCCCAGGTCCCATCTTAATCCGCCCAGCCGTTCCCGAGATATAGAAATGGTACAAAAGATCGCTACCCCAAGCCGCGACATTTGCGTACATGTCAAAAACGCTTACCGCGGCACTTCGGTATTTAGACTTCACCGAATTTCGAAATTTTTTTTTTATTCGATATCTACTAATCGTGGGACGCGTGCCTCCCAGCAGACTTTTTCCGCTCCGACTTACGGTTCACGAGATAGCCAATTTAGGGGGGTCGTTTCGGCGCAAAGGAAAAGCCGTGGCGCCGAAGTCAGATTTTTCTCAGATGCGGCATAAAAAGTTGTCCCCAAGACCTGCAACTTTTAGGAGGCTCCCGGCCTTCGGCCGGGAGCAGGAGTTTTTTTTCGCGAAACGGCTCTGTATTATATATAATAAGAACTTACAATTACTTGAACTCTCTGTTTAACTCCATCAGTCACAAAACAATTATTAATTAATATTCCAAACATTTCTTTAAAAATTAATTAAAATTATGTTTGATAGTCAAAAATGTTTTTACCGTTAGTAGAACAATACCATTGATGGAGTACTTTATCCCCTACTCGAGCGAATTGAATAACTGCACTAAAAGAATTTTTGATTTAATTTTATGCAAAATTTCTCTCCAATTTTGTTAAAGTTTCTTTATTTAAATAAACCAGGGTTAGGAATTTTAGTGACTAAAATTCTCTCGGATATTTCCGGAAACTGATATCAAAGTCTATATTTATTTCCAACCAACCCGGCAGGCTTGCCAGCATCCAATTCATCAATCGAACTTCTGTGTATACTATAAGTACAGCCTGGAATTCCGTGCCTAGCTTCAACTTCTGTTGTTGGAAGCATACTGTCGGAATTTTCATGATTTTTATTAAAGAATACTATCTACCTGACACCCAATTCTGCTGTTAAACCTTTACTTGCTTCCTCGAAAAAACACTTTACATGGAAGGCCTGGTCCACCTTTATCAATTATAAATATTTATAAATATTACCTACCTGACAAAATATGAAAAGTGAATGAAAAGTGCCCAAACTAGTTACATAACCGGTAAGGGTTTTCTCAATATAGGTACATATAACTTGTTGAGCTGCCAGAGAATTTATTATATCAGAACCGATTGTGATATCGTTATTTCCCTAGCTTTTATGACAGCCAATCCCAACAAAAATTGCTGCCTAACCAAGGTTTTCTCGTCTTAATTTTCGATTCTGGATATCCCGGCCTCGATATATCCTGATCTTTCTCAAACCTCCACCAGTCCAAACGAAAATTACCTAATCTAGGTAATTTCGACACGAGGAAGTATAATTGTATATCTAAATTTGTACCTTTGTAATAAATATTGGATGAAATGAAATAACCAAAGTAATTCCATAATACATTCCTCTTGGATCAAACTTTAAAATTATTTCTTTATTTTATATTTATTTTTATTTATTTACCGAACGTAAACTTCTCATTCCACATCTACCTAAACCCAAATCAAAATGAACTTTTTTAGTTCTTTTAAGGGCAAAATCATCCTTTGCACATTCTTGGTCATCTGATTTTCCTTTTGCATATATCCTTCCTTAAAATAATAGGACGAGAAAATTAAATTTTTAAAAATATTTTGATGAATATTCATTTTGAAATAAAATTTCTGATTTTTGAATCATCTTATTATCTGAGTTTAAGCTTAATTTACAGGAGTAAAGCAGCTGGGATATAGCTATTTCTCTCCTTTAGCTAGTGCAAAAGGTTATTCGGCGGCTGGGAGCGAACCAGCATCTTCAGTAGACCGGACTGATATGTTAGCCATTACACCACGCCGCCAACTGTATAGCCTTAGGAATTGAATAGCTTACACGGGGCCGTTCACATTTGAAATTTAAGAAGTTTCCCAGATTATCGAAAATGTTTTGATTTGTTTTGACTTCCGACTAGGGCTCGAAAATTTTGAATTTTAAGAAATGTCGAAGTATATCAGTTGATTATTAAATGGCTTTTAACACACAAAACTATTTGCAAAATAGTGAATTTGTAGATAGTGTCACGAAATTTATTATAATTAAATCTTGCCTTGAAAATATTTTCTAGTTTTAACCCAAACTCTAATTTCTTGATCTAAACATTCTATATCAGGCTCCCCAATTATATCGTTGTCTATACTTATTAAATTAAATAAAGGTAAATTAAAAAATAAAAGAAAAATTGAAAATAATTTTGAGGAGAATTTAAGGGAGAATTTTAAAAAGTTCATTTAAATTAAATTAAAATAATTCTAAAATTAAATGTATTTACAAAAAATTTCCTTACTTAAATTTCTAATTTTAAAATATTTTTCTATCGCTAGACTAATTATCTTTAAGCATAATTTATTTGAAACTCTTAGAACGTTCTTATAAGAGAAAGCAAAAGAAATAAAAGAAAATATGTATGAGAAGAAAAATAAAAATATATAAAAATTGAAAAAATCTTTTTTATGTAAATTAATAATTTTTTAGAAAATTTAATAAAAAATTAAAAAAATGAGGACCGTTATTTACTCAAACATTTTTAGAAATTATTGAATATAGTGGACCGAAAAGCTAAAACAACATAGAGGAAAGCTAATATTTATATTTAAGAGGTCTATTTGACTTAGTTTGTTATTTAAATGTACCGTAAAAACTGTATTAACTACCCTGGTTAATTATTGTTTCGAGGGTAATAAATAGAAGCGGGGTAATTAATAAAGGTTTTTTCAGAAAGGCTAATTATAGCTATTTTTAGTAATTATTGTTTCAACCTTTCGCTAAAGGGGTAACTATTACGGTTGGGGTAATTTTTTGATAGAGGGACATTAATACAGTTTTTACGGTATTTTATGTCTATTAAAAATAAATATCAGGGACTAGCCGACCCATTTCCCGAAAATTAAGAATTTGTTTTATATATCGGCTATATCTCTGATAAATAAATAAATTTAATATAATTTACAATGTCAACAAATTTTTAAACAAATAATTTAAAATATTTTATAGAACTAAATATTCTCAGAAAAATCAAAAAAAAGTTACATATACATATTAAAACAACAAAGAAAGTAAAAGTGAATGAAAGAATGCTTGTTATTAATTTCTTTTTCAAGCTGGACTTGAAGAACCTTAAAAAATAAAAATAAATTTTTGGGGTCAGTGAAAGTCCGGGTAATTTATACAAAGAATATATGTTAATAATTGGCGGGCGAATTGAAAAAATATTTTATTTATTATAATAGAAAGTGTATTTAGAAAAATACAAAAAAAGAATAAAAAAAATTATAAAATATTTCTAAAAGATATTCTATTTTATTTTGTTAATATCAGAAAGAGTTAAAGCAATAATAATAATATGTATGTTTTATCAGTATAGAATTTTTTATCAGCTTAGAAAAATATTTGGTCCAAGTTTCAAATTTTTCCTTGAATCGGGCGTCGGGTTTTTTAAAAATATTTTTTATACATTCAAGGAAAAAAAGTTCAGGTTCAGGTAACTAACCCTTAACATCCCCTAAAATATATTCCTCAAAAATTATCAAACTTTACACAAATATACATAATTCTCCCATAATATTATTTATTCTAGTTTCATTTTAATTTACAATTTTAAAGTTTAATTCAATTAAATATATTTCTCAAATCTTCAATTACTTAATTTAATTTTACATATTTCAGTTATATTTCAGCCCTCAAATAAATTTATTAATTATTTTGGGATGGATCAGGCTTGCATAGACCGCTATATTTCGTACTAGGTCCAGCTTTTCCACATCCTGAAGCTGGTTTTCCTTGTTGATAAATCGGCGAACCCATACCATTTCCACTAAAAATAATTTAAATTTAAAATAAATATGTATTATTTTAAAATACGAGAATGAAAAAACTAAGAAACGGAAAACGTAAGTGGAAAGGCTACATAGCAGAGCTAGGCGAAAATTATAAAAATAAAAAGCGAAATGCGGAATGCGAAACTTTTCGCGCTAAAAAATGTGAAATATGCGAAAGATGCGAAACGCGAAATGCGAAATTAGTCCAGCCCTCCTACATAGATAATCGAAACCCCATCTGTATTTTCCAAAAAAATTTTTAAAATTGTATATAGGAAAGATAAGTAATTAATTAAATAAACCAACCCTGGATTATAACGGCAAACAACTAAATTCCCGTTACAATCAGGTTTGTGGCAAACTTTAAGCGCACAACCAATTTGGTAAGTTTTAGCCCACGCCATCTGAGTCCAGTGTCCAACCGCTTCGAATTTTGCATCATTCTCTTCATTATCAGTAGGCAAAAAGTTGTTTATCCAACTTGAGGGCACTCCATCTGTAGTACTTTCTCCCCACCATGCATTACAGGCATCTACCATCATTTGGGCTAAAAATTAAATTTAGAAAATTTGGAGTAAGCTCGAAAAATCAGCTAAAGAGAAAAATTAGATTAAAATTAGAATTAAAATTAAATTAAAATTAAAATTAGAACTCTTCCAATCGTCTTCACTTTTTTATTAAAATAAATTTATCGTTTTATCAGTTAATTCCTACTTTTAGGCATAATAAATAAATTTAAATAATTTTTCCGGGAGTAAACAGTGACTCTTTTTCCTGATTGAGAAGGGGAGGAGGAGGGTCTCTCTCTTTATTTCTCATCCTTTGTTTAATTTAACTAAGACTTGTTAAAAATACTGCTATTCAATACAGAATCTTAATTATTTTTAAGTTATCTAAAATAATCCCTCATTTTTGCCACATTTTTGACTGATTTCGACCCTTATTAACTCAATTTTAAGAAGCCATGCCTCTTTTGGTGATTTGAAAAGGGTTTTCCTAAGGGAGGAAAGCTAAGAAATATTTTTTCTAAAAATAATAAAATTTTTACAAATTAATTTACTTATGTTTTTATGTGTAAAGTCTCCATCTATATAAAGATTTTCTCCATAATATTTCCCTCCAGCAGCCAAACTTGATCCATCATGATCAAATATGCATTTATTAGCCCATCCTTGAGCAGATTTCTCCACGTCTGTACTATAAGAAATTTCCAAAATATCCTTTCCAGGGGGGAAATTTCCCCCATTTTTATTTTTAGTTTTTCCATTGGCAAGTTGAGAACGGTATTTGTTTATACAATCAACTACGGCATTTTGTTCAGGAACAGTCAAAGAATTTGCAACTGAAATATGCCAAAATTTTAAAATTATTTTTTCTTAATTTACATCCTTAATGCCCGTTTTTTGTTCTTAATTTTAAAAATATCATCAAAAATCCTGAAATTTTGGCTGAGTTAATCAAATGATTAGCCCGAACAAGTATCGAACATGCAACCCTGCTGAACTCCGATACTTGTCTAAGTTACTCATTTAGACAAGTAAGAGCGAGGTAAAAGTTTAATCCCGGGCAGGCTCGATCCTGCGACCTCCTGGCAGTTATTGCTAGGAGCTTTCGTTCATCACGTACAGGTGCTCTGCCACCTGAGCTACCGGGACGCTGCTTTCACCTTTTCTTTTAATAGATCTTAAACCCCCGCCTAGTGCGCGTTTTAAATGCTAGCCAGCTGGATCTTTCTCTTCCTTACAGAGATAATTAACAGACTGAGATAATTATTTTCAAATTAAATAATTTAAATTTCAAATTAATTAATTTAAATAATTACCAGTATAAATAATTGTCAATATTAAAATAGAAATAATTAATTTATTTGACATTTTAATAATTATTTAATTATTTTAAAAGGAAAAAAACTTTAATTTAATAAATTTAATGTATGTATGTATATTCTAACAAATTCAATCCCTTTTTAAACATCCAAAATCCAAATAAAATATTAAAAATCCACGTACATTTAATTTTTTATTAAAATTCTTTTCCTGCCAAATTAAGAACATCTGTTCAAATACTTGACTGAAAATTAGCTTTGGAACGCCAATTCTTTTAATATATTATAACAAAAAATTAGCTTTGGTACATCACGGCAATCCAAACAAACGCGAATACTTCTTTTAATTTATTTTAATTTTCTTTTATTAAAAAAAATTTTTTTACTGGTTACGTCAAGAGGATTTTTTAAATTTTTTTTAAATTGTTAGTTTAGGCTTTGATCGTTAAGCCAGGAAAGGCATTTTTGGCTAGAAATATTATAAAAAATCCATAAATTCTTTTAGATTAATTTTTAATATAATTTAAAAAATTTTTTTGTTAAAAACTTTAAAAGTTAAAAACGTCTAAATAGCTAATAATTGACTGAAAATGATCGAAATTTCAAATAAATCTCCAAAAATCCTTAAAAAAGTTTAAAAAATTCATTATTCGCAATTCCCTCCATAAATACAACCTACTCGATAAAAATCTTAGAAGTAAAGGTCCCAGAACTTTTCCTTCTTTTAAATAAACTCAATAAAACTTTAACAAAAAAATAAAATATTAATAAAAATAAGGCAATAAAATTATTTTTTAAAATTAAATAAATTCATCTTTTTCACTTTCTTCGTCCAAAATTAATTTACTACTAAATTTTTCTTCATTCAATTTTTCCTCTTTTTCATCATTAGATGAATATTTTAATTGTGTATTTTTAGTAATTACTCCTGTATTTATTCCAATTTTATAAAGACAAATACTTGTCCTTTTGCCTGATGAAGGAATTGAAGGTGGTAATTCTTCTGATATGTTTATCTCTTCTAAAAGTGATTTCTCTGTTGTTCTAATGCTAAAATTATTTAACTTTAATAAATTTCTTTAAAAAATATGAAAAAAATTATTTTTAGATTTCGCCCAGCCCTGTCACATGCCCTGTAATTTTCCCAGTACTCTGTAATTTTTCACTTGATTATTAAAAAGAATTAAATGGACTGTATTTGAATAAACGAGATCTAACTTTATTTTTAAATTACCCATTTTCCTCCTCTTTTTGCTCTTTAGCTATTTTTCCAACAAAAGGCACAGCACTTGCAGCAGCTATTCCACCACCACTTAAAATAGCCTGTTCACAAGCAGAGCTTCTTCTCCTTCGAGATATTTGTCTTGTAATGACAGAAATCTTTTCTTCATTATTATTAATCTGTCCCCCATCATTATCCGAAGAACATTCTTCTATTGTTATAACAGAATGTTTTGCACTATAAGCACGTAATGGAAGTTTTGGACAGTCTAAAAGTGAAGGAGCTGAACCTCCACTAATTTTATTAATAATTCCATTTCCTGTTCCATTAGATAAAGAATTGTAAACAGGTCCTGATGTTGTTAATAATGCTCGTTCAGAACTATGTGAAAAGAATAAAATTTGATTTGAAAGAACTTTCGAATTTTTAAGAAAAGTTTGAAAAAACTTTGAAAATTGCAGCAGCTACTCCACCAACACTTAGAATCTACAGTAGTCGACAAAAAGATAGGGACAAACGCAATTAAAATGAAAATCACCTATTTTCTCGGTTAAAAATCGATTTTAGGAAAAATTTTTTGATTGATTAAATACTCCATTTAATGCTCTATTTAATGAGTAGAAAATTTGCCTGGTTAATTTTTTATAAAATTCAACCCTAATTGAAAAACAAAAGGTATGCTATTTTAAGCGCGACAAAAAGATAGGGACAAGTCTTGTAACTAAGTTCTCATAGAAGCAAAAAATCTACAAAATTTTGTGTAAGCATATTGATCGATATTAAGAAGAAATAAAAGAGAACTAGGTCCATATCTCATTTCGTTGTCGAGATCTCGATACCCCAAAAATCAACGTAAAATAGGGATTTTCAACTTCAAAATTTTTTGCCGACCCCTTATCGATTGTTTTAAATTTTTATTTTAGGCTCAATCGATAGCCCATGAAATTTGCTATAAAATAGCCAAATTTCATTATTCAAAAAAATTTCACTTTCGAGATAAAAGACGACGATTCTACAAAACGCCATTTATGAGGGAATTTATGGGGTGTTTGTTGCTTTTTGTAACATTCGCCTCTGCAACTAACGAAATATTTTTTTCTCAAAAATGAAATTTGGCTATTTTATAGCAAATTTCAAGAGCTATCGAATAGGCTTAAAATGAAAATTTTAAAAAATCCATAAGTGTGCGAAAATATTTTTTGAAGTTGCTTACCCCTGTTTTACGTTGATTTTTGAGGTATCGAGATCTCGACATTGAAATGAGATATGGACCTAGTTCTTTTTTATTTTATCTTAGTATCGATCATTATGTTTGTACAAATTTTTGTAGATTTACTGGTTGGGTGACTACTTAGTTACAAGACTTGTCCCTATCTTTTTGTCGGGCTTAAATTTGCAGTACTTTTTTATTTCAATTATTTCAGTATATCAGAAAATAATAATACGCCAAATCTTATACTCATTAAATAGAGCATTAAATGGCGTATTTAATCAAACAAAAAATTTTTTCATAAATCGATTTTTAGCTGAGAAAATAGGCGATTTTCATTTTACATGCGTTTGTCCCTATCTTTTTGTCGACTACTGTATATAATCTTACTTTTAGTAAATTATTCAGTTAATTCCTTAAAATTAGTTAATTTCTCTTATAATTCCCCCTCATAATTCCTTAAAAACTTCATTATTTGGACTAATAACCTAAATCAGTGTTAATAATGGTGGGAAATTTTGCTGTATGTGAGCTCGAACGAGTTCTTGCACTGGTCTAAATAACGTTATAAGAAGCTGGTTAAATTAAAAACCAAAAAAATTTACTTTGAAGAAAATCTCAAAAATGCAGCATTATTTTTGCAAATATTATTTTCTTCGGTAGTCAAAAGGACGGCAGGATTACTTCCATTAGTTACAGAACTTCCGGGACCTCCAACTCCCATAGAATTAGACCTTCCTCCTCCTCCAACTCCCCCTCCTCCTCCAGTAATTACCACACAACGGCTGTCTTCAAAAAATTCTCCTCCACTCCTCCTTCTACTTCTGTTGACAAATTTTGGGCAGAAAAATGACCGAAAAGCTATTCGAAAATTTTCAGCATTTGCAACATATAAAATTGGGTTGAGGGCACAATTGATGTATGGAAATAAATGAATAATATTAACAACAACACGATCAAATTGTGTCGAAATTCGGAGCCGGAAGATTGAAGAAAATAAATTAAAAAGCCAAAATGGAGACCAACACAATACGTGGAAGATAACAACCCACAAGACTAATCTGGAAAGAATTTTTTAAAATTTAAAAAAATTAAGAATGACACGGGAGAAATGATTAATACGGCCTGGGATTTTTAAAAAGTGTAAGGGCCTGTTACGCCTTTATTTTAGCCGCCTACTATTTCTAGATTTCATGTCCTTTATTCCTCCCCCAATTTTATCGTTTTAATTTTTATTCTCAGATTTTTAAAATATTTATCACATATTTTCTTAAGAGGGAAATTTAAGGACCTACCTCGTTACCCGATGATATGGCGCTCTGGAATTAGCCCCACGTTTAAGCCGTTTACAGGACTTAAGTGCTTCACGTAATTTAATAAAAATGTGATAATAACAAAAAATGATGACAGCTAGAGGTAATGCAAAAATGAGAATTGAAGATGCAGTTATATACCTTATTGAATTAATAAGTAAAAATTTAATTAAATTTTTATTTTTGTCTTTAATTGTAAGAAGTATACAAGGCTTTTTTGGTTGAATTTAATGGGAGTTTATTTTGGATGGGGAACTTTAAAATAAATCCGAAATATTTAGTCCCAAACACGAATATCATGGGCTGAGAAAAAAAGTCGGCCAGGTTTCGGGTAGGGTTGGTCACGGTCGGTTAACCGAACCGAAACCGAAACCGAAAACCGGTGTTTTTGGCCAATAAACCGAAACCGAAAACCGGGGGTCAAAAACCGGCGAAAACCGAAAACCGGTGGCCTAAACCGACCGGTTTTTCGGTTTATAAAATACACCCCTAAGGATGGAATTTTTTGGGGATTTTTCGGCGATTTGAATTCACAAAACACATCTTGCCAAAATAGTTTTCTCAATTTGTTTTCGATAAATATAATTCCTTTAATTTTATATCAGGAGGTGTAAATATGTATGTTTGATTGGCCTCCCTTGATTTGCTTTTGACTTAGTGTTTGGTTCGAATCCAAGGACGAGTAGTACAAGGGATATTATTTTTTTCAAAAAATAAATACTGTTTAAGTTTTTGACTTTTAATTTAAACTTTTTCAAAAGTTATGTCAGCGCTGCTAAAAAGGAATAAATCTGTTTATTGGCCTTTATACTTCGTTGCCAAAAATACTTCGATGCCTTCCAAAATTCTCAAAATTTTCGCCTGCGGCGCCAAAAAAGATAAAACATGGCTCGTGGCTGGGTATGGTCAGTGCCGGGGACCGACTCCGGAAAAACTATTTCTTTTAAAAAAGTATTAATATTTTTAAATATATGAATTCTAGGCTAATGCCCTTTCAAAATTTAAAAAATTTTCGCCTGCGGCGCAAAAACAGGAAGATTTTAAGGGTCGACCAAAATTTAGCAAATTTTGAAAAGAGATGGAAAAAGAGATGGATCTTAACAAATTAACACACACCAGCCGTTCTACTGAAGATGCTGGTTCGCTCCCAGCCGCCAAATAAATAACCTTTTGACTAGCCAAAGGAGAGAAATAGCTATAGCCCAGCTGATTTACTACATTTTTATTGATTAAAATAAGAACTGGATATTCTGGATGAAAAATACAGGCATAAACCGGTTTCGGTTAACCGAAAACCGGGGGTCAGTCAAAAACCGAAACCGAAAACCGGGGGTCGAAAACCGGTCAAAACCGAAAACCGGGGGTACCGGTTAATAACCGGTAGTGTCCAACCCTAGTTTCGGGTAACCCGTAACACCCCTGATTCCAGAAATGTTTGCTAATAAGAAGTTTTTACCATCTAGCAACGTCAGAATTTGGCCATTTTGCTATACATAATTTATGCACTTTTTCTACTGAGCGCAAACGCAAAAAAGCAACTTCAGCAAAAAAATAAAGTGGTGAAGCTGAAGCTCCTGCAAATATCCAGGCACACAAAGAAAGAGCTATTGCTGTTCGATAATTTCTTTAAAAATTATTTAAAATAATTTTAAAATTTCAATTAAACACCTATAACGTGCACACCAATTGGAACGGCACATGGCACAGTATCTGTCAATTGCCAATAAAACAACAAACATTACACTGGCATATTTACCTACAGATTAAATATTTTTGTAAATTTATATTTTTAAAATCCTCTCAGACAGGAAGACTGTCGTTAGGAAGACTCTCATTATTATTGGAATTGAGAGAATAAATACAGTAAATAAGTCAAGTCAGAAGGAGCTTGAGCTCAAACTTGGTGTTAGCTTGAGCTCCATATTTTTCTAAAATACACTAGTCGACTTATGTATTATAAACTAAATAGTATTCCATATTTTGGAGTGAAATCTTTACTTAATTTTGAATATAAATTAACCGAAACACTACTTAAATATTTAATTTACCTGTAGTTTCTGTGCCGTGATATCTGAAAATTATCAGATTAATATTTAAAAAGAAAAAATTAATAACCTACATAGTGCAAAGTAACGAATTGAAAGGCCAAGATTTTTCATTAAGCTGAGAGGCAGCGACCAAAGTTAGATTAATTAAATAAATAAAATCAGCGAGGCACAGAGAAATCTTTAATATATTTTGCTAATTAATTAAATAAAATAAATTTTAAAACAACGGACCATATAAACATTTGTAATTGAACGCATATAAGGCCTGAATTTTAAAATAAAAAAATTACTCCAAAAATATATTTTTAAATATAAAATATGTGCATTGTTTAAATTTTCTTTTACAAAAAATTATTTCGAAATTGAAATTGATATAGGTATTTACGGCTGAGATAATATGCAAATTATCAAATGTTAATGCAATTTTTATTGTTTCTGTATTCTCGTATATAGAAATTTTGGGTTTGTGAATTTTTGAACTATATTGAATTCAATGGTATAACAAAGCCTTTGGGTTGGAAGCTGATAAAAAACAGCTGACAGCGGTATTAAAGAATATAATAAAAAAAGATTTTGTCATACTGCAAGGTTGAAACCAGAGGCAATTATAGGAACGTAAAAGATTTCTTTCAAATATCTCGTTATCGCCATTGGGATTTTTCTAGATATCGATCTAAAATCACTATCAATCCCAAATATTTTTAATATACTTTATTTCTATATCAAAATTTTTTAGTGCCATACCTAACTAAAATGACCAAAACAACCAATAAATTGACTGAACCTTTAAAAATAAATATTTATCTCTTTAATTCTTCAAAAGTTACCAAGAGATACAAGCAATAAATGTGTTACAGTCAATGCCAACCTCATATGATGAACGGAGGATGTGGCAGCTACTGTATGAGGAGGGGATGGGGAAGAAACTGCTAAAAATTCAGAGGGGGGAATGTGAGAAGATGAAATTAATGTAGATGATGATGAAGGCGTAGAAAAAGAATATTGACGATGAATATTATTCATTTGTTAAATTCTGAGCGGAAATTAAGTAAGAAATTTAACTATATTTTCATTAATTCATTAATTTATTAATAATTATTTTTAAATTAAATTTTGTTTCAAATAAAAATTTATTAAAGCTTATTATCTTACTCATGAGTGTAAATCGGTGATGGGCCGAGATGGGTGAAGAGTCTGATCGAGTTTCGGATTGGGTTCGAAAATTTTTTTGGGATCGGATTGCGGGTTGAAAAAAAATTCAAATCGTGTTTAGGGGTGGCTCAGTTCCACTGATATCTCTTCCTTAATCTCTCGAAATCACCTGATCTCTCCGATTAGTAGTTTAGAAAGATAATAGGTTGTGGTTGAGATTAAAAGGTCTATTAGGGAAGTTGAGTGACTACAGAGTATATTGAGGGATTAAAAGGATTCAAGGAGCTTTCGTATATAATATAGCAGCTCAATTCTGTCCCTGGGCACGACATATCGAGATTAAATTGTATACAGAAATAGTCAATACTCAACATTTCATGTCCACAACTTTTATCAATTTTCTCGCGCAAAGGGAATGTGTCAGGAATAAATTGAAGAAAAAAAAGAAAAGACAAGGAATTTGTCGCTAATAATAAATTGAGCATTCAAAGATGTGTATATGCTTTTAGAAAGATAAAAAACTAAAAGAAAGAAATAAAGCTGCTCTTTCAATTGTAGGGTGGGAAGGTTAAGTGCCTCCAGGCAAAAGGAAGAAGCTTATAAAAAAGTAAGAATGGCTAAGTTTATGGAAAGTTAATAAAAAATAAAAACTTTGAGTGAAACTAAAGCTGGAAATAAAAAAAAGAAATGTTGAGTAAAACAATAAAATATTTATGAAACTTTGTTAGAAAGGAGACTTGGGTAATATAGAATGGCTAAACGACATTTGCGGACCCGCACTTGCGGACCGACACTTGCGGACCGACTTTTGCGGATTCGCACTTGCGGACCGACTTTTGCGGACCGACTCTTGCGGACCGACATATGCGGACCGACACTTGCGGACCCGACATTTGCGGACCCGAAAGGAAATAAAAAAATTTTCAATAAAATAGGCCGGCAGACACTTATAAAAAGTTGGTTTTATTGTAGAGCAGGGATGTCACGGGTTGGAAAAAAAGTCGGGTCGGGTTTCAGGTCGGGTTTTCAAAATTTTCTTCTGATCGTGTTTCGGGTCGAGAAAAGGGGTCGGGTCAGTTATCTGGTAGTATTAACGGTAATCCGAAGAATAGCGTAGGGATTTCGAAGAATAGCGTACCTCTTCTCCCACTGGCAGACTCGATTTTGGGTCCGTCAGTCAGTGGGCCGGTCTTTTTTAAAAATTAATTTCGGGTCCGCAAATGTCGGTCCGCAAGTGTCGGTCCGCAAAAGTCGGTCCGTAAGTGTCGGTCCGCAAGTGCGGGTCCGCAAGTGTCGGTCCGCAAGTGCGAATCCGCAAATGTCGGTCCGCAAGTGCGGGTCCGCAAAAGTCGGCTAACCATATAGAATATTGTGTCTGAATTTAATTTCAAAAAAAGAATAAACGTTGAATATTGTAAATCCTTTATTCTGGGACAATCTCTTAAATCGTCTCAAACAAAGAATTGGAAACAGCTATTTAGGTGCTACCAAATATCTTGAATCTTTGACACTATTCTTATAATTATTATAAGTTATCTTACAATTATTATAAGAATGAGTACTACTCTCTCTAATAATAACTAAATAATGCTTAAAATTTTAGGGGATATGTAAATTCTTCAAGGAAAGAATATTTCTACTGATAAATATGTAAATAAATAAAAATTTATTCAATATTTTGAAATTGGAAGTACCTATTTTTCCATATAAAATAGTAACAAAAACAACAAAAAAGATTATTTATTTATTTTTACTTTTCCCCTTATACCAATTGTTTATGCGCGTCATTCAACAACACTCAAATTACACTTGCATTGAATATATAACTTTATATAGAATAAAATATTTATTTTTTTTTGTTTTAGAACAATAAAGAGTCGTGTTTCATGTCCCCCCTTTCCTTTTTCTGTTTTTTTTTCCAAGTTTTTGATTGCTTTTGACATTTTATCCACCCACCTAAAATTACTCTCTGCTTTTTTCTTTTTTAAAAAAGGCACAATTGCCGCCGTGCTGCGCTTCTTTTTAGGTAAAAATAAAGAAAATGCGACAATAAAATTTTAAATTGGAATTTCTAACGTTTCAGCGCTGCAAAAAACGAGGAAAATTAGATAAGGCTTTAAAGGAAAGAATCCGGGTGACAGCTAATTTAACTGTTGATGCGTGGAAATACACACACATTTTCTTATCTTTTTGAAATTCTTGAAGCAGTAGAGGAAAGAAATTCTTTAGCAATTTTAATATTAAATTTATAAAAAAATTTAATAAAATGGAAGTTAAACTTTAATTAAATAAATTGTTTAAGTGTGAGTTAAGGTCAAAAATATGAAAAATTTTTTTGGAGTTTTGAGGAATATTTTTTAGTTTAATTAAAATTAACATAATTTAGATATATTTTAAAAGAAATATTGAATTGACTACATTTACTTAGGTTGTCAACTAAGTTTTGAGCCCCCCCCCCCCCAAATATCTTAATTTTAAGATGTCTCTATCTCCTAAAAATGAATCCTACTATGATCCTGATTTTTCGCGAGAAATAGGCAATTCCCTTAGGATCACAACGGAAAATAATTGGAATTTTAATTATATTTAGTTAAATGTAAAGCATATAGCTATTCATTTCCTAGGCTGAGCAGTAGGCGGCGTGGTGTAATGGCTAACACATCAGTCCGGTCTACTGAAGATGCTGGTTCGCTCCCAGCCGCCGAATAACCTTTTGCACTAGCTAAAGGAGAGAAATAGCTATAGCCCAGCTGCTTTACTTAAATTTTAATAATTATTTAATCAGCTTAACTAAAAGGGCTCAAAACTTAATTACAACTTAAGTATAATATATGGAAGTATGGCTCCCGGACAATGCGTCAGTAGACAATGCGTCAGTGGAAAATGCGTCAGTGGACAATCGGTCAGTATCGATATAAAGTGATTAAAAGTGATGATGTAAAGAGATAAAAATTTACTGATATCCCTCAAAATCGGCTGTGTTCCTTCTTAATCCAACAAAATAACTTAATATCTCTGTTAATCTTTCCAAACCCGAGATATCGGCCTTAATCCCAACAAATCCCTCTATATCTCTTTATAACCAAAAAATCACTTTTTAAATACTCCTAATCTGTTTATATTCCATTTTTAGTCTTTTTATATCATTTTTTATCTCTTTACATCATCACTTTTAATCACTTTATATCGATACTGACCGAATGTCCACTGACGCATTTTCCGCTGACGCATTGTCCGAACACGGGAAGTATCGGTATATTTCTGTACTTAAGAAAGGAGCGCCTTTAAGTTCATTTTTGATTTTGAGTTCATCTCTTGATATCTACAGGAGCAGCTTAAATTAAAATTGTCAAGATGGGAGAAAACTCATCCTGATACACTACGTATAAAAAGTGAACTTAAAGTCCTACATTCCGTGAAGGTAAAGCGATTACAGACAAATCGCTTTACAGAACTTTTATAAAAATATAAAATATTTTGTTCTGAAAGCTTTATATAAATGAAAGTCGTTTTGTGTTTTTTATTTCAAAAATTATAAA